AAAGGCAGTGTTCAGGCAACTTGACTTCGACTTTTCTTCTTGCTGGATGTTTTCAGTATACTGAACACGAACAACCTTATTTGTGTACTGTCAAAAACTGCAAGTAATTTTAGATCCTTTCCGAACTGATGGGGACAAGTTGCAAAAGACGCAGTTTCAGCACATCTTAAGACGATTGCCTACTTTTCCTGCTGATAAAATTGAAAACTAGGGTATGGAAAGTGCTGAGGGAAAATAGCTGAATCGTTACCTGAAGAGGGCGCGATCTAAATGTCTGAAGCAAATTCCCAACTCATCACCGGTATTATCCAAGGAAATCTCAATGTTCTTAACTTCAGCTAACCGCTGTTTCTAATCGATTTTGATGAGCATCTATCTAACACCAGCGCTAGCGACAACGAGCTCACTCTCAAACAAAAGAAAGCACACTGATTTTGCAAGAGCATCGTTGACAACTCAGGCGTCAATATACTTGAAACGAGATGGCTTATAGTGGTAATAAAAAACCCGCAACATACCGGAGCAGCACCGTAAACCGCGCATGTCACAAATGCCACCAACCCTTCATCCTTATTAGGCTGGCACATCGCATCGTTCACTTCTTTGAACTTGTTCTAAAAAAACAGCACTATCAACATATCAAAAAAACTAAGATTACTTACCTTGTACACATAGTGCGTTCCACGAAACCGCGCCAAGAATACATTTACGGGCACTTCTTTGGGCGAATATTCCGCAGGAAGGGAGAAAAGCTCGTCAGGATCAAATGAATATATCGCATTATAATCCATGCATGCGCAGCGGACTTTTCTTCGCTTGTGAATCTGTCTCTCAAACAAATTATACAGCAAATGGCAAGATTCCACTTACATCAGATTCCAGAGCGACCACTCGCAAGAATATGTCGTCACGACGTCCAACAAGCGCCATTCCTGGGTGCACTTCAACGTTATTTTCGGCAGGAGATTTGGAATAGAACGCTCTATGAAATGTAAGGGAAACCATGTAGGCAA